AACATTGCAGGTTGCCATAAGAGCATGGTCCCCTCCAAATATCCCGGCAATACCTATGACTTTGTTTTTAAAAATTGAGGAACACTTAACAAATTGATGGAGGTTAGAAACAAAAATGCTTTGCTGCATTTACACCAGTATTTCTGTCAAACCCTCTCTGGATTAGGGTTAATGTCTTATTGGAATGTTTCAGAAGCTTATCCTCTCTTGGGACTTAATTAAATTCCCACATTACACGTCTATCACTTTCTCATACAAGAGCTCCTTTGGAAAGAGGGTTGACATGTTGGAAGCCTATGTTTCTTTCTGCAACTTGCCACTCACAAATGTGAAAAAAAAACAGATTGATTCCAGTAAGTATCCCACTTGAGAGTGGGTTGTTAAATAATGCATATTATATATATGCCAAATGGTGTGCAGTTTGTACTTATCACTCCACAGCTCCCAACTCTATCTCATGTTTTCTGATGTTATCATAACTCACGTTGTCAAGTGCTGATCTGATGCCAAACAACACATTTACAAACCAAGTTTCCAGAAAACCAAAGAGGGCCTTCAGATTTTTGATCCCCTGAGACTGGCACGCTGTGTTTTTGGAAGTTTATATCTTATACAACATTCTATTTCGGTATTTGTTGACATGTTGCTGTGGCTTTAAAAACAGAAAATGCTGGAAATACTCAAGGCAGAGGCATGCAGTAGTTTTGCACTTCTTCACAAACAAAAACAACATTTGATCTACAATGGTATTGACTTCATATTGTGGATTTGGAGGTGCCGGTGTTGGACTGGAATAGACAAGGTCAAAAATCACAAGACACCAGGTTATAGTTCAACAGGTTTATTTGAAGACACATGCTTTTGGAGTCTCACTCCTTCTTCAGGTGTCAGTGAGAGAGGTGGCATCAGGCACAGAATTAATACACAAAAGATTAAAGGGTCATAGAACTTCTGCAAATGTATTGAACAAGCCTCAGATGACTATTAAATGTTTAATCAGTTAGAAAGGATTAATAAGCAAATCCCAGAATTTCTTTTAAGTCACTGCCCCGCGATAACTTAAAAGTTTTATCAACCTACCAGAGATGACATCTCAGGTCAGACAATACATTTTAGGTGTGAGGCTTTGTATGCTTTTTGAACAAACTACAAAGTATCTGCATTTATAAATCTGCAAATGCAAGTTCACCCCATAGACTTATACGTGTGTGTGTGCGCGCGTGCACATGTGTCTGTGCGTGTGAGGGAGAGAGAGTGTGTGTGTGTGTTTGTGTGTGTCTGTGGCAGGCTTTAAGATACACAACAATGTAGAGTCGCCAAGCAGAGGCTGATAGTAAAGTTCGGTACCCATGAGGACGGCCTCAAATGGGATCTTGAGTTCATGTCGCACTACAGGTGACCCCACCACACTATACAGTCCCTCTCTCTCTCTCTCTCACACATACATGCACACACACACTCTCACACACACACACACCCCCCCCCTCTCTCTCCCTCTGTCCCTTACACACGCACACACACATGCGCATGCACACACACACACTGGCACACACACATTTAAATCTATGGGGTGAAATTTGCATTTACAGATTTGTAATTACAGATACATTCTACTTTGTTCAAAAAACACACAATCTGTAGACAGTCAATGTGGCATTTTATAAATTCCCACTTTGGAAATAAAATCGGTCTGACTCCAAGTTAATTCACAGCCAGATTCTAAACAAGGCCTCACAACTAAAATGCATTGTCTGACCTGAGATGTCACCTCTGAGAAACTGATAAAACCCTGTAGTTATCTTTGGGCAATGACTTGAAAGAAATTCTGGGATTTGCATATTAATCCTTTCTAAATGATTAAGGATTTAATAGCAGTCATAGGTTTGTTCAATGCATTTGCATCAGTTCTATGATCTTTTGATCTTTTATTAATAAATTCTGTGCCTGATGCTACCACCCTCACTGACACCTGAAGAAGGAGCGAGACTCTGAAAGCTTGTGTCTTCAAATAAATCTGTTGGACAATAACTTGGTGTCATGTGATTTTTGACTTTGACTTCATAACAGCATCTGACCTTATCATCCTGAAACTAAGACAGCATGTTTGAGATGGTCAGTGTTTGCTATCACTTCCTGTATGCTGACAAGCCTAGAAAGTAACAAAAACAGAAGTTGTTGGGAAAGCTCAACAGGACTGGCAGCATCTGTAAAGAGAAATCAGATGTAACATTTTGAGTCCATTGACTCTTCCTCAGAACTGATGGTAGTTAGGAAAATATTGTTTTTTATGCAGAAGTTAGGGTGGGTGGAGAGGGTAAGGAGTAAATGATAGGTGGGGACATAGCCCAGAGATAAGAACAGTTGGATAGACAAAGGAATGGATAATAATCTGGCCAGGAGGGTGAGTAGCTGTTAATGGATACTGTTAGTGGCTGACAATAGGTTGTGTGTAATAGCAGACTATGTGTTAACAAGAGATAGTAGGAACTGCAGATGCTGGAGAATCTGAGATAACAAGGTGTAGAGCTGGATGAACACAGCAGGCCAAGCAGCATCAGAGGAGCAGGAAAGCCGATGTTTCGGGCCTGGACCCTTCTTCAGAAATTTTTTTCCTCGGAAGTGGAGGCGGTGCCATCAGCAGCGGTGTCGATAGCATTCGCTGTACCGGAAGTGGCGTACCCGGCGGCGGAGGATGTGACATCATCTGTGGGTGCTCCAACAGTGGCCACATGGCCAATGGCGGCAGGCACATTGTGGGGAAGGTCCTGGGTAGGGTTGGGGATTTGGGAGGTGGAGTAGGCCCGTTTTGGGTGGCAGGCACCAGTAAGTTTACTGTACTTACGGTTTTTAGTGTCCAATAAAGCTGAGTAGAATTGTGAGTTCAGGTTGTGGATCCTATGAAGAATAAAAAACAGGAGAGGTCCTTTGCAGGTCCGGGATAGGGAGGCTCTGAGCTGGGGTAGGCTTGATTGTAGTACCAGGAGATGCCGGCGCATTGCTGCGAGTGTGTGCTTCAGGAGTCACAGGGAGAAACATTTTTGAAGGATCTCAATGTTCTGAATGTAGACATTGTCACGGTAGGGGCCAAATTGGGAAGGCCTAAATGTGGACTGTAGTCCATTGCGGATGATCTGGTTCCATAGGCAGGTACTAAGAAAGGTAATGTGGCTGTAGTACCTGGTTTGCTTCAGGACATGGTCGAGCAGTTTCAGGGCCGAAGAGATTACGAGAGAGTTGCAGTGGGAGAGAGATCCACTGAGGTCTTTCCGGAGGGAGGAGGGTAACTTCTTCAAGGTAGGCATCCTTAGAAGAGGCTTCGCAGTGGGGTTAAAATTATTTCAGAGATAGTAGGAACTGCAGATGCTGGAGAATCTGACATAACAAGGTGTAGAGCTGGATGAACACAGCAGGCCATTTCTGAAGAAGGGTCTAGGCCCGAAACGTCAGCTTTCCTGCTCCTCTGATGCTGCTTGGCCTGCTGTGTTCATCCAGCTCTACGCCTTGTTATCTATGTGTTAACAAGACCTGGTGTGTGGGGATGGGGTCTAGGATATAGGAAAGTTCAAGTCCTAAAGTTATTAAACTCAGTATTGAATCCAGAAGGCTGCAGGGTCCCCAAGTGGAAAATAAGGTGTTGGTCTTCCAGCTTACACTGTGCTTTGCTGAAGCACACCTTCAACGGTTGCAGGGGAAGGTGCTGTAGGGCTGTGGACAGGTGTTGGGCGTGAAGGAAGAGTGGATCAGGGTTTCCCAGAGGGAACAGTCTCTGCCGAAGGCAGACAAGGGAGGAAAGGGGAATATGTGTCTAGTGGTGGCATCTCGCTGGAGGTGGTGGAAATGGTGTCTGATGATCTTCTGGATGTGAATCCTGGTGGGATGGTAGGTAAGGACAAGGGGAACCTTATCGCTGTTATAGGAGGGTAGTGGGGAGTGAGGGAGATGAGTCAGACTCAGTTGAGGGCTCTGTCAACTATGGTGCTGGGGAATCCTCAGTTGAGGAAGAAGGTGGGCATTTCAGAGGCTCCTTTGTCAATGTTGGCCTCATCAGAACATATGCAATGGAGATAAAGGAACTGGGAGAATGGAATAGATTCTTTACAGGAAGCAGGGTGCGAGGACGTGTAGCCCAGGTAGCTGTGGGAGTTGGTGGTTTATAGTGGATATTAGTGGCCAGTCTATTCCCAGAAATGAAAACAGAGATGTCCAGTAAGGGAAGAGTCAGAGATGGAGATTCTCCCAGTTCCTCCATCTCAGTCGCAACTTTGACAAGGGAGTGTTCAAAGTGTCCACCTTCTTACTCAACTGATGCTTCCCCAGCACCACTTCCAAAGGGACCACGCAGATGTAGGGAAAATGCTCAGACTCCACAAGGTCACCTGCGGCTGGAATCAAACCAGGTCTCTGGTGCTGCAAAGCAGCTGTGCTGACCACTGAGTCACTGTGCCACCCAAAGCCAAGGTATTTCTGGGCAGAAGGGAAGGACATCTGGAGGGGACATTTATGTGTCAAAGTTCCAGATACTTTGTACATTGTACATTTGGAGTCAGCTGTCTGACTGTTTCTTTAACAGAACATTCAGAAAGTCACTAGTAACAGATTAAACAGCAGCAAGTAGTGGTGTAGGTCATGATTTCACTTTGTGAAAGAAACACTGGGGAATCTAGAGGAAAAACTGTGACACTAACCTTTTGAAATGTTATTTTCTCATACGATGTTAGCCGCACTGGCAAGGTTAGCATTTGTTGCCTATCCCCTAAGTGAGCTTGAAATGTCTTGATTGCTCGGCCATTTCAGCAGATAGTTAAGCATCAATGTTATAGCTGCTGATCACAGTATGTGGATGTACCTACGAGAGAAGGTGCAAAACTTGCCTTATTCTTGAGAAATAAGGCAGGACAGATGACTAAGGTGTCAGTAGGGGGGCACTTTGGGGCCAGCGACCATAATTCTGTTAGTTTTAAAATAGTGATGGAAAAGGATAGACTGACTGAATGGAATCATTTATTGTCATGTGTATTTAATGTAAAAATACAGTGAAAAGTACATACGTGGTGCCATTCACATTAACTTAAAAGTAAAATGTGAGAAAAAAATAACAAGAATCTAACTTTCTTTTCCACTGCTGCAGTCCCACGCTATGCTGCCACCAGAGTCCCACTCTCGGATGCCTCACCGTCTGACTCTCGCCAGCCCTGCCTCACCATCCGACTCTCACCGTCTCCGCTCTCACCGGCCTGCTCTCGCCAGCGCACTCTTGATCCGCCGCCATCGTTGCAAAACACAACCCACACGTTCAGTTCCCACCATGTGGTTTCCCGTCATGACCCAGCTCATACCTGGCTCCTTAAATGGATAGTTAAAATGGGGTGGGGGAGGATGGAATTACTACAGAGGGAGAGAGAAAAAAGGAATGTCAAAGAAAGCAAACTGGCTAGCAGAGTGGAGCTCCAAATGGAGCAGCTTACCCTCCCACCATCTTGCCAGAGCTAGCTGACTGGATCTAAAAGTTCTCAATTGGAGTAAGGCCAATTTTGGTGATAGGCAGGAACTTTCAAAAGTTGATTGGGGACAGTTGTTTGCAGTTAAATGGGTGGCTGCAAAATGGGAAGCCTTAAAAAATGAGATAACAATAGTCCAGGGACAGTATGTTAGGATGAAAAGCAATGATCGTGGATGCAGGGAATGCTGGATGATTAAAGAAATTGACCTTTGGGTCAAGAAAAGAAGGAAGTAAATGTCAGGTATAGACAGCAGAGAATGCATAAATCCTTAGAAGAGTATAAAGGCAGTAGGGCTATACTTAACAGGGAATCTAGGAGGGCAAAAAGGGAACATGAGATAGCTTTGGTAAATAGGGTGAAGGAGAATCCAAAGAGGTATTATAAATATATTAAGGACAAAAGGGTAACTAGGGAAAGAATAGGACCATTTAAAGATCAGAAGGTCACCTATGTGTGGTATCACAGGAGATCGGGGAGATACTAACTGGGTATTTTTCATCAGTATTTACTGTGGAGGACATGGAAGATCTAGAACGTGGGGAAATGAATAGCAACATCTTGAAAAATATCCATAGTAAAGAGGTGGTGGTACAGGATGGCTTAAAACACATAAATCCCCACGACCTGATCAGGTGTACCCCAAAAGTCTGTGGGAAGCTAGGGAAGCAATTGCTGGGCCCCTTGCTGAGATATTTGTATCATTGATAGCCATAGGTGAGGTGCTGGAACAGTGGAGGTTGACTAATGTGGTGCCACTGTTTCAGAAAGGTGGTAAGGAAAAGCCAGGGAACCTTAGACTAATGAGCCTGACATCGGTGGTGGGCAAGTTGTTGAAGGGAGGGGTAGCATTTACATTTACTTGAAAAGGCAAGGACTGATTAGGGATAGATGGCTAAGTGCACGGGAAATCATGTCTCACTAACTTGATTCAGTTTTTTTGAAGAAGTAACGAAGAGGATTGACGACAGCAGATCAGTGGACATGATCTATACGGACTTCAATAAGTGGCTCGACAAGGTTCCTCATGGTAGACTGGTTAGCAAGGTTGGATCATGTGGAATACAGGGGGAGCTGGCCATTTGGATACAGAACTGGCTCGAAGGTAGACGACAGAGGGTGGTGGTGGGGGGTTGCTTTTCAGACTGGAGGCCTGTGACCAGTGGTGTGCAACAAGGATCGGTGCTGGGTCCACTGCTTTTCATCATTTATATAAATGAGTTGGACGTGAAAGCATTTCCTACCATGAAGCACTCCATCTATGCAGTCTCAACATCATCTACATTCTCAAGCAGAGGCTGGAGTTTAACACCTTCTGATAGAGGCAAATAAGCAAACAAGACAGTCAATATAGTGCTTCTAAAATCATGAATGGAGAACTCCGAGCAACTCAAGGTGATAGCAATGATTTATACATGTTAATATGTATTACGTCAAGTTTGACACAGCATTCAAGTTGCACACAATGCAAAGTTGCAATTTAAAATCTACTTTTGTAAACACGAACCAATCACTTTAATATTAAAGTTCATTTACATAAACTACAATGTTACCATGATTATGACCAACATTACTGTCCATCTCTATTAATGCAAACTTATATCAACAAATTAATTTTGCTCCTCATGTGAAAAAGGACCCATGTTTATTGGTAAATTTTAGGGAGAAGATTATTGCTTTATACACAAAATGGCATCCAGAAATGTTTCAGTGTGCTTGATCTGTATATTTGCAAAGCCATGCTTATGCAGGAACTTCCTGTACTCTGACCCACTCCTTTCTCTTCTGTTGCTCTGCACAAATGTGCTCAGGGATTGTAGCACTGCTCTGCTGGACATGTTCTTCTGATCATACAGCACAAGCTCAACCAGTAGAAGACCACATCCTTAAAAAAAAAATCCAGAACAACTTAACTGATCAGTTAAACTTTCATAACTAATTGACTAATCAGAAAATATTTCAGATCACTTTAATCAGAAAATTAAAATCACATTTTGCAGTATGTGAAGGAAAAAATGTTTCACATGTAAAGACACCTTAAAATGTAAGAGCAAAAAAAAAATCGAAAAAGAACAGAATAATGTAACAATTTTCCAATGAATATGAGGAACATGAAAAATACAAAATAGTTAAGGCTGTGACAATGAACATCTACAAAAGTTGAAAGTAGATAAACATGGGGAAGATGGTGTTACAGTGGCAGCTAGTATCCAGATGTTCAAGCAAATGCTCTGGGAACAAGGCTCCAAAATTCAACTGGACATTGAATTTAAATTCACTTAATACAATCTGGAATTGAAAACTGGTCTCAGTAGTGATGACCATTAAACTATTCTAACTTGCCCTTTAAGGAAGGAAATCTGTCATTTTTACCCAGGTTGTCCTAAAGATGATTCCAGATACACTGCAATGTGGTTAACTTGTAACTACCCTTTGAAATAGCCAAGCAGTCCACTAAGTCTAAGGGCAGTTCGGGATGGATAATAACTGGTGACTACGCCAGCAGCAGCTATGTAACCTCAGGGAATAAAAGAATCTGGTTAAAAATGTAGCTGTTGGTTAAAGAAAGAGAGACAAATATTAATGAATAACTCCTCAGCTTCAGGCTATGAAATTACCCAAAGAAACAACTGAAATAGGAAATATAATGCCAGAAGTGAGTCCTCACATGCTTTCCAGAAATCTGTTCAGATTAAGTGCGAAGTGGGAACTGGTAGGCAGAACCCAGGCAGTCACCTACTTCAGGGGAGACTCAATTTGGAACACCTTTTCCATGCTGTGCAAAAGGATTGTACATTGACTTCACTTCTTTGTAAAAAAAGCTTCTAAAATGTACCATTGTTTTGAACATAACTTTAAAATAAGGTTTGTGTCCTGGATTTGGAAAGCAATGTCTGAATCCATTAGAAGAACACATTATTTAATCATTTGGTTGTTCAGTTTGAATATTGCTGAATATGACATTGTCAAAATTTGTCATCTTACACTCATCAGAACATTTCACAGACAAATACAAATTGAAGGCGTAAAAAAAACAGCATTTATACTTTATGAGAGGAAAATGCTGATTGGCTGGCAAGTTAACTCTGATTGGTGATGGCATTGCCATGGAGAATTGGACCCATTAATGCCGACTGAAAGTTAACAGCCAGGCTTTGTTTAAACTATAAATCAGGCAGTTTGACTGTGACTGGGCAGACATTGCCCCGAGAAATGAAACAGTGAATGGCTGTCATCTATTCTGTGGAGCATAAATGTTGGTTTTCCACCTGAATTTGGATTCTTGAAAAACATCTTGATGAGAACAGAATGAAAAGGTTAAACAAAGTGTACGACATTTTATTTATGGGTAGAGTCACAGTACTGCAATCACTCAATTCTCTCAATCTCCAAAAATTGAAAGTAATTCAATTTCCTGTAAAATGTTAGATCTATCAAGTCAAATCTATAATAGTGCACAGGAATAGAGGGAAGGTATGGTAGTTAGTTCATTAGACAAGTAATCTAGAGCTCCGGGCTAATGATTTGGAGAGAAGTTCAAATCCAACCATGGTAGCTGAAGAATTTAAATTTGATTAATTAAAGCTGAAATAAAAAAAGCTACTATCAGCACTGTTGGCAACAAAACTACATCTGTTTGATTAATGTTCTTCTGGCACAGACAGAACAGTCAACAGTCTCTTTCCGTGCCGCAGTAACTATGAATGAGAACTAAGTATAAACAAGTTGCTCTACAACAAAATAAAAGCAGGAGCTACTGGTTAAAAAATAAATACATCAGTCCAGCAGGAATTTTTGCAGAAATGGAGAACTTTAGTTAACAGGAAAAACTGATCAGCTGAGGCAATTTTCTTTAGAACAGAGAAGAATGAGGGGAGGGTTAATTAAGGTATTTACAATGATGAGGGCCATATACACAGTGGATAGGAAGGTCTTTATTTCTCTTAGACAAGATTTCCAATAACCAGGAACAGAAATTTGAAGTGAATGAGAGAAGGATGTGAGGGGAGCTCAGGAGAAAATACTTCCATTTTGTGGGGACCGAGAATCCACTGTTTGAGTGGCTAGCAGAGACAAAAAAAAATTAATTATTTAAAAAAAACTTGGATTTGGACTTAAAACTGCTGAAATTTACAGAGCCAGGAATTAAGAACTGGAAAATGGGATTACAATGGATAGCACAAACATGATAAACTGAATGGTCTCCTTTCTGTGCCACAGATTTTATAAATTTTATTTTTCAGTACACTCAGAAGGCAACATTTTGCTTCAGGGAGCAGGGTATGATTTCAGAACTCCTTCATATACTTCTTGCTTAATCCTCTCATATTCAGTGTTTGTCCTTTTCTTTTACCTTTCTATATATGTTTTTTCAATCTCCTTTGTTGAAATGCCTGTCAGATTTTTTTTCCCTATTACATTTTCAATGGTCTCAGTTTTTCCAAAAGCAAACCTCCTTTAATTTTATGAAACATGCTAATGCTTTTCAGAAACATAGAACAGTACAGCACAGTACAGGTCCTTCGGCCCACGATGTTGTGCCGAACTTTTACCCTAATCCTAAGGTCGGTCTAACCTCCACGCCTACCTTATACTATCATCCATATGCCTATCTAATAGCTGCTTAAATGCCCCTAACGTGGCCGACTCCACTAACCTCTCCGGCAATGCATTCCACGGCCCGACCACTCTGAGTAAAGAACCTACCTCTGACGTCTCCCCTGTATCTACCTTCACTCACTTTAAACCTATGCCCCCTCGTTATAGCTACCTTCACCCTAGGAAAAAGTCTCTGGCTGTCCAACCTATCTATATCTCTGATCATTTTGTACACCTTTATCAAGTCACCTCTCATCCTTCGTCGTTCTAAAGAGAGAAGCCCTAGCGCTCTCAACCTTTCCTCGTAAGACCTTCCCTCCATTCCAGACAACAGCCTGGTAAATCTCCTCTGCACCTTTTCCAACGCCTCCACATCTTTCCTGAAATGAGGCAACCAGAACTGGACACAATACTCCAGATGTGGCCGAACCAGGCTTTTGTATAGCTGGAGCATTACTTCACGGCTCTTGAACTCGATCCCTCTATTAATGAAAGCTAACACACCATATGCCTTCTTAACAACTCTATCCACCTGGGTGGCAGCTTTCAGGGAACTGTGAACATGAACCCCAAGATCCCTCTGCTCCTCCACACTGCCAAGAATCTTTCCATTAACCCTGTATTCTGCTTTCAAGTTTGTCCTTCCAAAATGAATCACCTCACACTTTTCAGGGTTAAACTCCATCTGCCACTTCTCAGCCCTGCTCTGCATTCTATCAATGTCCCTTTGTAACCGAGAACAGCCATCCGCACTGTCCACAACGCGACCCACCTTTGTATCGTCTGCGAACTTGCTAATCCACCCTTCCACTTCTTCATCCAAATCATTTACAAAAATCACAAATAGAAGAGGACCCAGGACAGATCCTTGTGGTACACCACTCGTAACTGAGCACCATGTTGAATATTGTCCATCCACTACCACCCTTTGTCTTCTAAGGATCAGCCAATTCTGAATCCAATCTGCCATATTTCCCCCTATCCCATGCCTCCTTACCTTCTGCATGAGCTTACCATGGGGAACCTTATCAAACGCCTTACTTAAATCCACGTATACCACATCCACTGCTCTACCTTCATCCACGTGTTTGTTCACCTCTTCAAAGAATTCAATAAGGTTTGTGAGGCATGATCTACCCCTCACAAATCCATGCTGACTATCATGAATCAAACTGTGCCTTTCCAAGTGATCATAAACCCTATCTCTCAGAGCCCTTTCCAATAATTTGCCCACCGCTGACGTAAGACTAACTGGCCTGTAATTTCTGGGGTTATCCCTATTCCCTTTTTTGAACAAGGGAATGACGGTTGCCTTTCTCCAATCTTCCGGCACTATACCCGTGGACAGCGAGGACGAAAAGATCATTGCCAAAGGCCCTGCGATGTCTTCCCTCGCTTCCCATAGAATCCTTGGATAAATCCCATCAGGCCCAGGGGACTTATCTATCTTCAACTTCCTCAAAATTTCTAGCACATCTTCCTTACTAACATCAACCTCCTCTCGCCTACCAGCCTGTTTCACACTGTCCTCCTCTACAACTAGGTCCCTCTCAGTTGTGAATACCAAAGAAAAGTATTCATTAAGGACTTCTCCTATCTCTTAAGGCACCGTGCACAAATTCCCTTTACAGTCCTTTACCAGCCCTATCCTTTCTCTGGTCATTCTCTTATTCCTCACGTACGTGTAAAAAGCCTTGGCGTTTTCCTTGATCCTATCTGCCAAGGTTTTCTCATGCCCCGTTATAGCTCTCCTAAGCTCTTTCTTCAGCTCCTTCCTGGATAACTTGTATCCCTCTAGAGCCTTTTCCGTTCCTTGTTTCCTAAACCTTACATAAGCCTCCTCCTTCCTCTTAACCAGTCGTTCGACTTCTCTTGAGAACCAAGGCTCCCTCACTCGACCGCATCTTCCCTGCCTGCTAGGGACAAACATATTGAGCACATGCAGTATGCATTCCTTAAACAATCTCCACATTTCAATAGTGCTCTTCCCTGACAGCATCTGTTCCCAATTTATGTTACGCAGTTCTTGCCTCACAGAATTGTAATTACCCTTCCCCCAATTATAAACCTTACCCTGCTGCTTGTACCTATCCTTTTCCATGACTATCGTAAAAGTAACAGAGTTATGATCGCTACCACCAAAATGCTCTCCTACCAACAGGTCTAACACTTGGCCCAGTTCAGTGCAAAGCACCAAGTCCAAAGTGGCCTCTCCTCGTGTTGGTCTATCTACAGACTGTGTCAGGAATCCTTCCTGAACGCACTGGACAAAATCCACTCCATCTAAACTATTACAACTAAAATGTTTCCATCAATATTTGGAAAGTTGAAGTCACTTGAGACTTCTGCATCTTTCCAGTATTTGCCTCCCAATCCGCTCCTCTACTTCTCTGCAACTATTAGGGGGTCTGTAAAAAAACCCCCAACAAAGTGACTGCTCCTTTCTTGTTCCTGACCCCAACCCAAACTGACTCTGTAGATGTATCATTCTCGAACTGCCTTTCAGTAGCTGCTATACTAGTCCTGACTAGCAATGCCACTCCCCCACCTCTTTTTCCACTCTCCCTACTTCTTTTAAAGCATCTAAATCCCGGAACTTCCAACATCCATTCCTCTCCCTGAGTTACCCAAGTTTCTGTAATGGCCACAACATCGTAGTTCCAAGTACCGACCGATGCTTCCAACCTAACTCCCTGTACTCGTTTTTCACATTCTCAGTCCTTTTTCTACCTATGTCATTGGTACCGATGTGTACCATGACTGCTGGTTGCTCACCCTCCCCCTTAAGGATCTTGAAGACATGATCCGAGACATCACGGACCCTGGCACCCGGCAGGCAACATACCATCCGTTCATCTCGTTCACGTCCACAGAACCGCCTGTCTGTGCCTCTTACGATCGAATCCCTCACTATAATTGCTCTCCTATTCTCCCCCCTTCCCTTCTGTGCCACGGGGTCAGGCTCAGTGCCAGAGACCTGTCCGCTATGGCCTTCCCCTGGTAGATCGTTCCCCTCCAACAGTATCCAAAACTGTATACTTATTATTGAGGGGAACAGTCACAGGGGATCCCTGCACTGTCTGCCTATCCCCTTTACCCTTCCTGACAGTCACCCAGCTACCTTTTTCCTGTACCTTCGGAGTGACCATCTCCTTATAGCTCCTCTCTATCACCCCCTCAGCCTCCCGAATGATCCGGAGTTCATCCAGCTCCAGCTCCCTAACGCGGTTTTTGAGGAGCTGGAGTTGGGTGCACTTCTCGCAGGTGAAGTCAGAGGGGACACCAGCAGTGACCCTTACCTCCCACATCCTGCAAGAGGAGCATGCAACTGCCCTAGCGTCCATTCCCTCTATTCTAGATTTCCAGACGAATTAAAAAAAAGTCTTACCTTACCAACCCTCCACACAGTCTTTTTTTTTGGCTAGAGAAGGAGAATGGGTGGGAGACACTATACGTGTAGTGTTTCGGGTTTAGCCAATGCCCGAACATGTCAGTTCCTTCCTGGCTTGCATTCTCTCCACACACCTGCCGCTGAAAACAAGAGGGCCTCTGCTGCACGAGGTAAGATTTATGCTGGAGAAAATAAACAACCTTACCATCCCATCGGCACTCTGGCTCACGCTGCTACAGCTGAAAACAAGACCTTGGAATTCCAACCTTGGAATTGTGACAAAATAATGTAGACAGTATATCATAAACTAAAAACTTTTAAAACTAACTTTTAATCAGGGAATGCTACCATGCAGAAAGGAGGCCATTCAACCCATCGTATTTGTGCTGGTTGCCTGCAAGAAGCAAATCAGGTAGTTCCCCTCCCCCACCCTTTTCCAATTAGCCCCAGGACATTTTTGACGTGTCTATCCACTTTCCTGTTCAAAACTACAAACGACTCTGCGTTCACTACACTGTCAGGCAATGCATTCCAGATCCAAACCATTTGCTATGTAAGTAAATATTTTTCTTTATTTTCTTGTTGGCTGGTATATGACTCATTTTAAATTAGTGTCCTTGGCAACAACCAAAGAACAGTTAACTAATTCCATGCCAGGACGATGCATGACTCAGAAGAGGAATTGTGTCAGCAGTGTTCCCCCTGTGTCTGCAGCCTGTTGCCTTAGATGGTAGATTGGCATTGTCAAACAGAACTTGGTAAGGGGGTTCGTAAAAGGCAGTGAAGTATTCAATCAACAATGAAGGCAGGCTCGACAGGTTGAATGGCCTACTCACGTTCCTCTGTTAATTTGCTGCAATGCAGATGACACACAACGCAGTCAGTGTGTCAGCGGTGTTGGGAATGAATGGGCTCTGATCAACTTCATTAATTGAAAAATAAAGGACAACTGGAAAGGTGCAAGGGTCAGCTGACTCAATACCCTTACTGCCAACTGCTTTATAAAACATTCAAATGTAGGCAGAGCATTTTCTCGAGAGGAAGGAAGAATAAAAATTGTGCTATAGAGGATTTATGCTGCAGGTTTCTATTACCTGGTTTGCACTTCTGAGAGAGCCTACTTAAGATGAGATCAAATTCGTCTTCATTCCAGCAATGGAGAATATTTGAGAGAATGTAAAGATCTGCCTCTGGCAGGTCGTCTTTGAAGATGTCTCCTTTAAATAAACAGAGCAAATTGGTGTGTCAAAATGTTACTTGGCCTGCGGGGTGTTTCCAGCAGTTGCTGCTCTTACTTTAAAATTCCAACGCTCACAGTATCTTGCTTTTGTTCTATGTTAAAATAGAATTTCATTATACAAACCTAGAATTTGCCCTCCCCTGATCTGGGGGTAAAAAAAATCTAACACATAACGTAGGATAGCTATTAGCTTTTGCAAAATCTCAGGTCTGATTGCATCTATGGCATAGAGAAGCAGAGTTAATTTTGAATCAAGATGATTCAATTGCAGACAGTCTTATTAGACTTGAAATGTCAGGTCTGTTTCCACAGATGTTAACCACAGCTTCTCCAGTACAATGTTTTGATTTCATATTTCTAGTATCCATTGCATTTTTGCTTCTACAGGCCAACTTAATCTCTTACTGGAAATTACAGTTGCAGATGACGCCAAATATTGCAGTCTCTTGTCTACGTGTCTTGACTTACTACGAGGCGCTGGACTTTGGCAGAATTAGTGGAACGGAACACCAGGAGATGGAAGTGATGAAACAGCAGCAAAAAAAAGTATAAACTTTAAAACATTATTATTTCTGATGAGGGATTTGACCACTTTACTCCAAGCAGGTAGGGTTGGTCAAATCCCTCACCATTAATGCTTATTTGAAAAATCTTCTGGTCTTCTGTCAACACTTGTTCCTCAGCCAAAGCGTCAAAAACAGTCGAGGTTGCAGGGCGGTAATGGCCTAGTGGCATTATCACTGGACAGTTAATCCAGAGACCCAGGTAACATTCTGGGGACCCGGGTTCGAATCCTGCCACGGCAGATGGTGGAATTTGAATTCGATAAAATATCTGGAATTAAGAATCTAACAATGACAGTGAATCCACTGTCGATTGTTGGAAAACCCATCTGGTTCACTAATGTTCTTTAGGGAAGGAAACTGCTATCTGTACCTGCTCTGGCCTACATGTGACTTCAGACCCACAGCAATGTGGTTGTATCTTAACTATCCTCTGGGCAATTAGGGATGGGCAAAAAATATTGCCTAGCCAGTGATGCCCCTCATCCCGTGAATGAATAAAGGATAAAAAAGGTCAAACAGCTAAGCAGTTTGCAGGACAGGAAGGCAGGATTATAAAATTTGGCAGCAGGAACAGGCAGTTTGGCCCTTTGAGCCTGTTTTGTCACTCAATCAGATCGTGGCCTGCTCTAATTTGCGGTCTCACCACCACTTTCACGTCTGCACCCATAACCTCGACTTCCTTCCCTATCAAGAATCTACCTCAGCCTTGAATAAATTCAACGACCCAACCTTGTGGGGAAGAGAATTCTGCAGAGGACCCTCAGGAAATAAATGTTTGCATCTGTTTTAAGACAGACAGTTCTGATTCTTAGGCTATGTCCCCGAGTTCTAATGTCCCCACAAAAGGAAACACGCCGACGAGACTTTCAGTTTCACATTGCTACTATGCCGTAGTGTTCGCCATTAACAGGATGCTACCATCATGTCAAGAGACATTCTGTCCATCACACAAGTGAGTAATGTGATTATGTGAATTTCAGTGCTGGTGCGATGTCACTATGTAGGCTGAACATCTCAAACACTGATAAATCATACCAAACTGCATGCCCCTTTTGCTGTTCACAACTGGCAACTGCCAAAACCTTATTCAATTAACCGAACTACAATCCTCTTCATTTCAGTTTGCCAAATCTTCTATCAAGGTTTCTTAATTAATTCATAAGATGCAAGTTAATCATGAGGAAAAAGGCTAAAGTCCGAGACTTGAATCAACAGTAAAACAAACACAAATAGTGTCGCTAATGGTTACCTTCTCTGAAACTAATCTGACAGAGGCTTTGACGTTGCGGCTGGTAACACTTTATCTTTTCCAACATTTGTGGCTGATTAAATACAACAAATGTCATATCTTGATATGCATTCGCCATTTCATACACTAAAACTCCTGCGTATCCTGCAAGAAAAAAGTAATTTCAGTCATGATTGCTGACAATGTGTTTAATATCTAAATGAACAATGAGAGATCGTGGACTTTCTCAGAATCTATTTTGTTATCCTTTGCACGGAGTGAAGATTCATCTCCCAACCATTTGATCTGCATTTCAAAAGATGCACCACAGATTGGCTGAACATCATGGATGCTCTCTTGTTAATAGCACGCTGAGGTGTGACCTAATACAGGTTTTTAAAATTGTGAAATATTTTGATACAGTGAAGAAGGAGAGAATACGTTCTTCCATATAAGAAGAAATAAGAGGTTACATATTAAGACTATCCAAAAACAAATCCTGAATTATCCCACCCAGACCCATCCCTCTACCCTAACCCTGTAACCCTGCACTTCCTTTCACCTAGACTGCTCATTCCTGGACTGTGGGAGGAAACCAGAGCACCTGCAGGAGACCCACGCAGACACAGGGAGAATGTGCAAACTCCACACAGACAGTCGGCTATCTTCTGTAGTCAGTGGGGAGACTGCAAGACTCACTACCACAGGGCATGGTTAAAGCAAACAATATTGACACATTCAAGGAAAAGCAAAGTAAGAATATGATGGAGAAGGGAATGGTGTTTATGAACGTAAATTTAGATAAGGAAAAAAGGGAACAGGCTTGATCTGACCACAAACACTGGCACAAACTGGTTTGGCCAAAGGACTTGCTTCTGTGCACTGTATCCGATGTTAACTTAGGAAGACAAACAAAAAAGCAAAAATCTTAGAATCCAAGCCTGAGAACCATTCACAGCTCTGAGCAAGCCAGTCGTAGCAAGAGCTCAAACTAAGACCTTCAGATGCTCCTCCCTTAATTGCCATAACACCTCACTACTCACTTCAAAGTCACCCTCAAACACTGTAGTTTTCACTTCAATATTATCCCTCTGGCCCTCAGATTAATTTTCTCAAATCTTCACTTGTCTACTCAGATTCTACTTACTCAAGTGCTCATTCCTGATTCTATGCTCATTTCTATTGCATGGGCTGTGCAGCTCAGCTGTTAGGTTTGATACTGTAAGTGCAAATGACCAAATACAGCATTCCCTCTATGCTGCACAGCTGTATAGCTATACACTCACTCCTCATTATCCACAGATTTGCGCGGTCAGATCGAGGTCCATCTTTTTATTTGCCCCCATAGGTACTTCTGGCCTGATTGCACATTCCTTTTCAGTAGATAGAGTGTTACATAGAATCCCTACAGATTTGGAAGCAGGCCATTTGGCCCATTGAGTCCACACCGATCTTCTGAAGAGTAATAGGTTTTGGCACTGCTCGTGTGACATACATCCTAAAAGCAACAAAATAAAATAAGATTGAAACTCTGCTACCACATCCCACTCAGACCCATCCCTCTACCCTAACCCCGTAACCCTGCACTTCCTTTCACCTAGACTGCTCATTCCTGGACTGTGGGAGGAAACCAGAGCACCTGCAGGAGACCCACGCAGACACAGGGAGAATGTGCAAACTCCACACAGACAGTCGGCTATGGGTGGAATCAAACCCAGATCCCTAGCGCTACGAAGCAGCAGTACTAACCACTGAGCCACCATGCCACTCAGTCAAGGTAGTGGTGCCTGCATGTTCTGTTATCTGTGGGATGTTTTTGCCCCTATCTCCACAGATAACGAGGATTTGGAGTACAACAGTCCAGGATTGCCAGATAGGAGATACACAGGCCACACAAAATAAGTGGTGGCTTTAAGATTGTGTTTGCACATATCTTAAGAGGATTTATGCAGTGCAACAGGATACAACACAGGAGAATTAGAGGGAACATTGAAAATGAGCCTCTATCAGGTACCAAGGATTTAGGATAGTACATAGGATTGTAAATTGCACACACTGGACCAATGATACTAGTCTGCATGTATAATTAAAATATAATCTCAGAGCCAATGTATAGGGGATCAAACTACAGTTTTACACCAGGCATTGCAAAACATACAGAGAGAAGTCCCACCACCACTTTTTCAGGGTAACTAGGGATGGGCAATATTTTTGGTACTTCTAGTGTCACATACATCCCAAGAGCAACAAAATAAAGTGAAATTGAGACTCTGGTACCACATCTGGTACAACAGTAGTTAGCACTGCTGCCTCACAGCGCCAGGGGCCCGGGTTCGATTCCACCCTTGGACAACTGTCTGTGTGGAGTTTACATGTTCTCCCCGTGTCTGTGTGGGTTTCCTCCAGGTGCTCTGGTTTCCTCCCACAGTTCAAAGACGTGCAGGTTAGGTGGATTGGCCATGCTAAATTGCCCGTAGTGTTCAGGGGTGTGTGGATTAGGTGGATTATCAGGGGATGGGGATGGGTCTGGGTGGGATGCTCCAAGAGTTGGTGTGGACTTGTTGGGCCAAAGGGCCCATTTCCACACCATAGGGATTCTATGATCTTATTCTCCTATTACAAATACACTTCAGAGGTTCAAGGACCCCAGTGGGCTACCTTTTCTTATCCCTTGGCCCGGTGTATAACAAATTACATCACTTATAGGGAGGAAAAGAAAATGTTGCATAATTAAACATTTAAAAATTCATACCTATATCACAAGCTGTTTTAAATGATGAAAGATCAAATGCCAAGACAGTGTCATTTCCTGTCACTTTGATAAGGCAGTTGATTGCAGATATAAAAGATGGTGTTTGTTCAGAATTCTGTTGATAGAAAACCTTAAGGTTAAGTGACATGTTAAAAAGTGACTTTGAATTTAGGTCAATTACTAAACATCACTACAAAAAGCACCAAAATAATAAATATACACCCATTGACAGAAAACATGGAGTATCCAGGATTAGAGCAGTGTCCAGGGGTAAAGTCATAACAGAAGGATAGATCCAGGTGAAATTCTCTCTATTACAACTGCAAGCATTCTTTCACACTTCAAACTAAATGCTAACTTTGCTTTTCTCTCCATTGTTGCTATCTGACTAGCTCTCTCCAGGATTTTGTGTTTTTATTTCAGATTTTCAGAATTTGTGGCATTTGTTTTTGAATTTCTTTTTGCTTGTTGCTCGAGGGATAAATATTGGCCCAGATCTATCACTCTTCTTCAAAATAGTGTTGTGGTATATTTTGTTTAGCAGGCCAGGCGCAGTCTTGGTATAATATCTTATGCACTGTGCTGCATCGCAGAGTCAAACAAAATCAAATAGGCTAGTCATGGCTCCTTTTTCAAAAGATCGACAAACAATGAACTCGCAAAAGGCGAAGTAGAATTCCTTATGAATTGAAACCTGACACAAGCTGGATTTGGTCACAATTTGCAGTTGACGCCTTTTGATGCCATTAGACAGGCCAGGTTTTATCTCAACAGTAAGCTTTACCCCCCGGGGCGCTCTGGCACACATAGTGAACTTTGTCAAGAAGCTGTAGTGAGCATAATGAAGTCTGCTAGCTTTTTGTAAATTTGTTCTTGGAATGGGTGATTGACTGGAAAGGCAAGCATTTATTTTTATCCCTAACTCACTTTAGAAGCTAAGGATGACCTGCATTCTCGAACTGCCAAGATACATGTGGTGCAGGTACAATTGCAGTGTTGTTGGGATGAGTATTCCAGGATTTCTGTAGATAATGTCTCTTGACATTTTACTACATTAAAGGCACTACACTAACAAAAATCACTGTTATATCACAATGATACTCTAAGACTAATACCAGAAAATATTTGCTTGACTATTTCTGAAGCTTCAGTGATAAAAAAACTAGACACATTTTACCTGAAATAAGTCATCAGCCTGTGTTCTGTCGGTACCTTTTTTGATGGCTGAAGCAAGATGAGTGAAATGTGGCCAAGTGTGGTCATTAACATAAATAATATAGTCATGTAGAGAGCTCTCACTACTTGACACCAGATATGTGTTGGCTAGTTGTGTGTTCTTGTACACTGCAAAAGTAAAATGGAAAGAAAGAAAGAGACGTACGAGTTACTTGATTTATTGTATAGTTTTGGCGCAACAATACACTCATGTTTTTTCCAGCTTCTTCATGACTATCGTTATATTGTAGTTAACTATAATTTCTTTTTTGTTGGTAAATCCTCAAACTTCAATTCAGCATTCTGTGCTATTTGCAAACTATTATAGAAAGGATATTTATCTTTGTCATGGAAACATTTCAACACAGATTTGACAGGGCAACGCTAAAAATATAGTAAATGTTAATGAGACACATAAATTGACAGGAGCAGAGAATAAGAACGTAAGAAAGTAGGTAGTTTGGCCTTTCAAGCCTGCTGCCCCAGACAAAAAGAACATGGCTGATATTCTACTCCAATTCCATATTCTTACATTATCCCGTTTTTCTTAATCCTGTTAAAATCCACAAAATTAACAATCACAATCCTGAATATATTCAGTGACTGAGCAACTACAATCCTCTGAAGTACTGAATTTCACAGATGCACAACCCTTTGAGCCATGATAAACAAGATAGCAAGGCAGACCAAATTCCTTCATTCCAAGTTATTACTCACATCTCCACCACAGTAAAGCGCCCAAACTAAATTTATCCCACACACGAAACTTGATAAAAATGGAGAACATGATTCAGCATACACTTGTATAGTAAGTAACTAATAGCAAAGGGACCAATAAGGATGGTATTTACACTGACCACCATTTGAACTAAGCACAGAATTATCTCATGAACAAGGTTTACTCACTCTGTGATGTGCCTGGGGCTTTTTCGAGCAAGTGAAGGGAAACACAAGCATCTAAGAGGTGTTTTGTCCCATCCAATGAGGTCTCTAATCTCTGAGCAATTTCTGAAACGTCTAAGCCATCCTGTGTACTCAATGCATCAAATACTTTGAGTGTTGAAGCTGTCAATAACACCTGTAAGGTACAGAAAATTACTCTTAGGTTCTGACAGAAGATAGAGCTGAAAAAAGTGAAGGAGACTGGTTCTTTTTCAATAAACAAATGTAACATAATTGTACATACAAGTAAACCCTCATATTGTCTAAATGATGAAATAAATGTTAGGCAAGGGACTAATTCAAAACTAATGTACAAAACACTTTAATTTGGAATGTTTCCATCTCACTTTTAAAATCTCAAAGTACATTTAAGCATCAGCAACAAAAAAGTCATTTAACGTAGGCCAAAATGTTTAGGTAAACATGCAACAGTGAAGAACTAGATTTGCATCAAGCTACTCAACAAAATGTTGCATTTTTCATTTCAATAGACTTTCCACATTGCTCTTTCTGCCAAAATGTGATCTTTACACAGACCCAGAGATCTGCCAGTCTGCTGAAAACATGATGAACTGTCCTTAGATAGCAGATTGTGTGCTCCTGTGTGGGCTGGCGACCATAGGCAAGGTCAATCTAGAGTTTACCTTGGGTGCACATGCTCTCACTTTCCAGCAAAAGTCTTTGGACTGCAATTAGAGAGAAATGTTAGCTGATGCTCTGTCCTATTGCTCAGTCCTTTGAGTATAGGAATTGGGGCATCATGTTGAGGCTGTACATGACATTGGTGAGGCCTCTTCTAGAATACTAAGTCCAGTTCTGCGGTCACCCTGTTATAGTAAGGACATTATTAAGCTGGAGGGTTTAGAAGAGACTTATCTGGATATTTCCAGATATGGAGGGTTTCAGTTATAAAGAAAGGTTGGATAGGCTGGGATTTTTCTCACTGGGGCATAGGATGTTGAGAGGTGGCCTTATAGAGGTTTATAAGATTATGAGGGGTACAGTTAGGAGTAATGATAGGTGTCTTTTGCCTAGGATGGGGGCTTTCAAGACCGGGGGTAGATTTTTAAAGTGAGAGGAGCCAGATTTTTTTTTATAGAGGGTTGTTTGCATGTGGAATGAACTTCCTGAGGAAGTGGTGGATGTGGGCACAGTTACAATATTTAAAAGACACTTAGATACGTACATGAATGGGAAATGTTTGGAGGGACATGGGCCAGGAGCAAGTAGGTGGGATTAGTTTAGTTTGGGATCATGTTTGGTGTGGACTGGTTGGACAGAAGGGTTTGTTTCTGCGCTGTATGACTCTATAAAGACCAGAGAGGTAAAGACCTATTAGAGCAATCCACCTGCTGCCTCAGTTCACTGAACTCAAAGGAAACTTAAAAATCTTCTAGCCTACATGTATGAACATTACAGATGGGCAATCCTTTTTATTCCAGACTTCAATAAATAATAGGTCCCTATGGAGTATTGAGGAACTACGGAGTATTGCGTATTGGTGTACAAGTCCATAGATCCCTGAAAATATCAGCAAAAGTGGACAGGGTGGTGAAGGCGACATATGAGATGCTTGCATTCATTGGTTGCAGTGTAGAATATAGGAGCAAGGAAGTCTTGTTACAACTTCATAAAACACTGGTTAGGACACAGATGAAACTCTGGTCATCACACTATCAGAAGAACATGATTGGACTAGAGACAGTGCACACGTGATTCACCAGGGATGAAAAGTTTTTTTTATTTACATTCATTGACAGCCATCACTGGCCAGAGTGCAGTTGAGAGTCAAACATATTGCTGTGGTTCTGGAATCACGTGGGCCAGGCTAGGTAAGGATAGTGGTTTCGTTCCCTAAAGGACATTAATGAACCAGACTGATTTTTTCCAATAATTGGCAAAAGTTTCACCATCATCATTAGACTCTTAATTCCAGATTTTCTTTTCCTGTCTTATTGAATTCAAATTCCACCATTTGCCATCGCAGGATTTGAACCTGGATCTCAGGATTAATAGTTTTGTGATAATACCACAGTAATGAAGAGAGACTGGATAGGCTATGTTTGTTTTCCTTGGAGCAGAGGAACCTGAGGAGGATCTGATTGAGACAAAATTGTGAAAGGCATAGACAGAGCAGATTGCCAGAATCTTTTCCCCCTCGGCAGATACTTTTCAGAACAGAGGGCACAAGTTTAAAGTGAGGACTAAGTAGTTTAGAGGAAATCTGAGAAAAAAAAATTTCACCCGGAGGCTGGTAGAAACATGGAATGTGCCAACTGAGAGGGTGGTGGAGGCAGGTATTCTTGCAACATTTAAAAGCATCTGGATGAGCACGTAAAACACCAGGGCATAGTAGGTGTGGACTAAGTGCAGGTAAATGGGATTAGTGTAGTTTGATAGTTGTTGGTTGGCAAAGATGTGGAGGGCTGAAAGGCCTGTTGCCTATAACTGTATGACCGTAAGTCAAATTCCTTTTAACAACTTTGAAATAAAAATATTCCAATTTACTCTCTACATCCTTACCTTTGAAGCTTTAAACCCATTCATTAGGTCTGCAATTTTATGAAGCCAGGCAACACTGGCCTCACTCTTGGTAGATGTATTTGCCAGGTCGTGGTGAAGTACCGCACAGCCTTTCACCTCAGGAATTCTGTTTGGCTTCTCGGTGCTTGGGCTATTCACCACCTTTTCTGACACTGCAGCTTGGTCAGAATTCTGTGTCTTTTCTGCTATTCCATTTCTCTTGTGGTTTGCAGGGCCCTGCTGAAGATCACAGAGGCCTTCCAAACTTGCAATGGCGTGGCCTGTGACACAGTGAGTTACAGGCGGGTTGTAGATCTCACTCAGCTTTTTGCAAAAGTGATTCAAAGGGAATCCGACAACATTTAAAAAGTCCCCATGAACGTACTCGACTAGCATTCCACCAAGCGCCTGAATTCCATATCCACCTGCCTTGTCCCTGGAAGAAAAGGGAACAAAACAGTGCGTGAAGAAATACATGTCCAATATATTATAAATACAGTCGGTTCTGATATAATGCGATACTTCCGTTCTCGTGTGATCGCACGTAATAAGAAAATCGTGCGATAGCCATGCCATTTAAACTAATGGAGCTGGAATCACATTGTAGCCAATACAGGTAAGGAATGTTTGTGTCCTACAAATAGCGGTCTAAATTCTTCAATCACGTTAAAGCAAATTCACATTGAAGAAGCACGCGTTACAGCAGAACTGACTGTAGTTGTTCAGAAACATTGAAATACAAAGGAAAAACGTACTGAATATCATAACGTTATGAGTATCTAAAAGACTGCTTGATGCACTGCTAACCTATCAGCAGATGGGAATTCCCAGGCATTATCAACTCTCTCACACAAGGCTTCCACAACAATGTTAACCTGGTGAACAGATTGCTGCAAGCAAATTAATCATTAATCCTTGGAATGCAATTCTGCGGATTACCATTTAGGTCCAGCTATATTTTAGGAAATATGGTTTACTTGCAGAATATACTGATGTAATGTTGACCAATATAAACATCCTATAAAAACCTAACAGTTTACAAACAACTGAATAAAATGAATATAACATGGCAGCTTAGTTAACTCCAGAGTAAACAAGTCAAAACTTTACTGAACTGGGCTCTACGTTTAAAGGAGCCTCTATTTAAAGCCAAATAAACCAAGATATCTAAAGCATAACCTATAAAAACCGAAAAAAAAAACTGTAGACGCTGTAAATCAGAAACAAAAACAGAAATTGCTGGAAAAGCTTAACAGGTCTGGCAGCAACTGCGAAGAGAAATCAGCGTTAACATTTCAGGTCGAGTGACCCTTCATCAGAACTCTATACCCTATAAACAGGTGGACTAAATTTCTACCACTAAAGCTAACTGTAATTTTTGCAAGCATAAATATGTTTCAATGTTATAGGTTCCACACACTTCACATCAAATACTAGGAACGATTGAAATAGCTTTTGTTGTGAACATTTTACGAACATTGCACAGAAAAGCCACAAGCAAATATGTTAGATTAATGGCTAACTGATCCAACTCATCAGATACATGTCGTGACTGTGTCAACCAATGATGTTTTGGTAACACCTTAAGTACCTAAAGGCAATGTCCGTAAAATATAACACGATAACATCTTAGGCAAACTTTAATTCTTCAGCCGAGACAGAGCTACAGGACCTTCACCCACATCTATAATTATCCATGGCAAGAGACATATTCCACTTATACTTGTATACATATATAATATGGCAAAATGTCCCAACAATCAGACAAAACTGGATGCCAAAGCAAGGTGATGATATTTAGATGGGGGAGCAAAATCTTGATTAAAAGTGGATATATGAAGGTCTCAAAACAAAAAGAAACAGGACAATGGAAAATCAGAAATGTTTGAGGAGGATATTCCACTGCAAGAAAGCAGATGTGAAGGACTGGGAGACAGTTCGCCAAAGAAAATATTATTTTTTTAGGATGACTCATAAAACAAATCTTCTCCAATCTCAACAAAACCATAAAACGTGTGGGAGGTTCAACAGACAAAGTATACCCTCACGTATAAAGGCTTAAATTTTATGAAATTATTTTGGCAACATACACTAACATTTAGAAAGTTTGTGGGCTGTGTATCATGTCACTGAACTTTGCCCTTAAATTCCCAGAGAGAGTTCCCATATATAAATTTCTGCACAAACTCAAGTATTATTTGAGCATGACAAAACTCAATAGTGAAAAACAAATAATGGCGAACAAGAAGAAAAAGAGAAATTCAGTCGGAGAGGGGAGCATAACTTCAAGGTAGGCATACCTGGAAGAGATGTGGCAGTGAGTAAACCATTAAAATAAAGAAACACAGATGCCAGAAATCTGAAAGATAACCAGAAATTGCTGGAGCAACTCAGCAGGCCTGTTAGTACCTATGGAGAGAAAACAGAGTTACCACTTCCATTTCAGGTCCTTCAGAACTGATAGCTTGTGGGGAAAAAGTGATATTTATCTTGATGACAAGGGGTGGGGGAGTAAAGGAGTGAGCTGATAGCTGGAGACACAGCCCAGAGAGAGAAACAAAGGAGAGTTGTCACTGGATTTGAAATATTAACTCTGCTTTCTCTCCACAGATGCTGCCAGGCCAGCTGAGTTTCTCCAGGAATTTCTGTTTTTGCTGAAGAAAACCTAGATAGGTGACAATGGGGACTACGATTGGGTGAAAATGGATTTGCTGTCCTGAAAGCAACCACGTCACGACAGGACTTCGGGTGAGGGGGTGGGTAAAGGACATGGAAGGTGGTCCTCAGGTTTTAAAATTGAAGTCTGCAAGATCCCCAAGCTGAAAATGAGACGCTGTTCCTTCAGCTTGAAGCAACACTGGCCATTTAAGAATAATGTTCACAATAAAATTGTATTGAGATGCTAGCCATGGCTCAGTGGGTAGCACCCTCGCCCCAAATCAAAGCAGTGCTTCGATACTTGATACTTGAGATACCTGAGCACAGAATCTTCTTTGACTTGCCAGTGGAGTTTTAAGGACATACTGCACAGTTAGAATCCTTTTGTTGGACACGTTAAACTGAAGTTCTACTTGCTCTCTTGGGTGAATGGAAAAGTTCCTACATCATTATTTGAAACAAGATCACAGGATCCACCCAGTGACCTTTCAATATTCAGCCTACAACCAACAACATTAAAACAGAACACGAGCAAGCTGCTTCCAATGGTTTTCCTATATTATGACAATGATTACAAACTTCAAAAGCATATTTTTGGCTATAAAGCACTTTGGGATGCCCTGATGTGATGAAAGGCTTTGTGCATTATTTCGGATGTGATCACCTGATCACTTGGTACTACAAAGCTTGACTATTGCTGAACAAAAGCAAAGACATGCTCTCAAAACTTTTTATTTTGCACTCAACAGGACAGACAAAATAATACACAATTTTAAGCACAGCAACAATTTATGCTGCATTTGGAAAAGGGTGTCAGCTGGTTGGCAAGTAAAATCAGAAGACCATAACATGAAGGAGCAGATGTGGGTCACTCAGTCTATCGGGTCTGCTTTGCCACTCAATGGCTGAGCTGATTATCCTCAACTCCACTTTCTTCCATAACACCTGATTCCCTTACTAAGAATCTGTCTATCTCAGCCTTGAATATATTTAATGACCCATCTTCAACAGCCCTCTGCAGTAAAGAATTCTCCAGATTCACCATCCTTTGAGAGAAGTTATTCCTTCTCATCTTTGTCTTACAAGTCCAATCGTTTATTCTGAGATTTTGCCCTCTGGCTCTTGATTCTCCGACAACCTTTACACACCTGTCCTGTCAAGCCCCTAAAGAATCTTTAATGCTTCACTAAGATTGAAATATAAAGAAATAAGAGCTAATGAGTACACATCCAATCCACTAAACCGCTCATAAGATAGCCCTCCCATGCCTGGTATAGGCCCAGTGAACTTACTCCAATATGTGTATCCAATGCCTGTATATCTTTCCTTAGATAAGGCCCATAAACTGTTCATTGTATTCCAGCTGTGGTATGATTAGTGCCTTGTATAGTTTTAGCAAAACTTCCTTACTTTTATACTTCATTCTCTTTGAAATAAAGGCCAGCATTATCTGCTTTCCCTATTACCTGCTGCATTTGAACTTTTTTTTTTAAATAAATTCATTCAGGGTACACATTCTTCATTGGCTGGACCAGCATTTATTGCCCATTCCTGGTTGCTCTTGAGAAGATGTGGTAAGCTGCCTTATTGAACCACTGCAGTCTATTTAGTGAAGGTATACTGACAGTACTAGCAGGGAGGGAATTCCCACAATATGAAGGAATGGCAGGACTGCACAACTTGGATCTAATCTGTTAGTTGTGGAGTTGCTTCGCTCTATCTATCACTTGCTGCATACACTGTCTGGCATGCAAGTAGTCCTGTGTATGTAGCTTCACTGGGTTGATATCTCACTTTTAGGAAGGCCTGGTGCTGCTCCTGGCACGCCCTGCTGCAGTCTTTATTGATTTGTCGAGGCACTGCCATTCAGAATGCACCAGGGAACAGTGCATTACCCATTGTAACGCCTCAACTGTTGTCTTTTTTTAAAATTTAAACAGAAGCTTGGGGTTAACTGTCGCCTGGAGCATTTTCTGTGGCAATTCTTCGACCAATCAAAAAATCAACTTGCCAACCAATTAGGAATCTTATTCTAATAGAGTATAAATTGCTGTTCACTCTGAAATTGATTCTTTGTGCGCCTGTCCTAATGATCGCAAATGAAAAGCTCAACAGCAGGTCTCTTCTTCCCAACAATCTGTGACAATATATCCTAGAGATAGTAGGAACTGCAGATGCTGGAGAATCTGAGATAACAAGGTGTAGAGCTGGATGAACACAGCAGGCCAAGCAGCATCAGAGGAGCAGGAAGGCTGATGTTTCGGGCCTAGACCCTTCTTCAGAAAGAAG